CGACGCGCGCGATACTGCCGCGTCGCGTACATATACGTTTATCTCGCCAACTACTTTTCCGAACACATCGCTAAAAGGTGTGATAGATATGTGTATGTATCTCATAGGAGACGAGCAAGCAAGCTTCTCTACTGCTCTCGGCGGCTGCGCTCGGTCTTTCCTCGGTCGAATTAATTTTCACCGTGACAGATTGCGATACAAGAATCTTTCTTTATTCTCTCGATAAATGTGGACGGGTCGTCAGCGAGAGAATTTATTTCACCTTCGTGTTTTAGTAGTTATTCTCGAAAACAACGCGATCTTATGTAAAGCGCTCCTTCTTTATAGCCGCTACTCTTAGTCTCAGAGCTAATCCCATGCAATTTATAAGCGCACTTAAAAACTGGCCAAAAAGAAGGTTAGTAGCGTTAAAAATTATTCTGTCTGTTTCCAAAATACGATATTTACGAGATAAATAGCGTTTTCCGTATTGCTTATAAAATATTTTTGCTCATTTTTTTTACTACGAATATTCTTTAATGGATAAAATCTCTTCTCAAGTGATAAACAAAAAAATGATAGGATTGTCACACAGAAAAACGATTTTGCTGAAATCTCTAAATTTCGGTAAATATAGATCTGAAAATAATTTTGTAGGACCATCAAAATAATTATCCAGAAAACTCAAGCAAAACTGCAAAACGTTTTGACATTCTACCAATTAATTTGAGTGCCCTACATAATTATTTTGATAGTATAACAAAATTATTTTTAGTTCTGTATCTAAATACAAATTTTTAAATACTTCAGAAAAACCATTCTTTCCGTATATAAAATAACATTATCGCTGTCTATTATGTGCTTAGAAATCCACGCGATTTGAGAATAGTGCAGTTAATTTGAAATTGTTAATTATTTATATTATAATTTGAGAAAATACTCATTACATTAATAAGAATTTATTTGTGTCCCTCGGATTATCTTGGTTATAATTGTTAATTCACGCGCGATTCGACTTAAGAGACTTGAGGTTTTCAAAGCTAAACGTCCGGAATTGTCACGAGAGATGAAATTACCTTTTGCTCCTACGCACTAAAGATTACATTCATGCGCGCATGCCCCTTACACCATTCATGCTGCGAAAATTGATTGTACAGCACCGTACTAAAATTAACAACAACGCCAAATATATGTATGTACATTGGCCTAAGAAGTTATTACATAACGAAACGAATCCTCGCTCCGGGATTCAGAGATGCTACACATCAGTATAATATGTGTCAGTGAGGAATATACATATATTCACATTGGCCTGCCTTCCTTTAAACTACTACAAAGGCCAGTGTCGATAGCGCATAATATACGATAATATAATATTCGTAGAAACGAAGCAGTACGTGAGTGTTTATCACTTTCTCGTTTCGTGTAATTACGTAGCGTTAATTAAGTCCAAAGTGTAGATACGATACAGGATGGAAAACTGTCGTGTTGCACAGAGACGATAAATAGATGTGTGTAAAATATATATATATATATATATATATATATATATATATATATATGTGTAGAGAGAGAGAGAGAGCTTATTATTCTGAAACATCACACATACACACACACACACATACACACACACACAACGTTTATAATTATATAATAAACTATCGCGAGAAAGATATCGCCAAGAATTCGTTAGCGATAAAAGGCAGTATGTTCTGAGATATTCGATCGTTCGATTCATGTGTAACGCAAGTTTGCTGTACAGCTTGCTTCTGTGCCTATATATTTTCTATATAATGTGCGTGAATATATTGTCAGAAAAATAAGCTCTTTGAAACTGAAACTCCAGCGAGTCCATGTCACGAGAGTGCCTAACCCAAGCAGTGTAAAACAAAAAGTAAGCTAAGGTAGAATATGTAGATATTAGATTAACGTCCAACGTAAATTATTATGCAAAGTGAAGACGAAAGTTCATGAATGCGAGCGAGAGAAAGATTTCGAATGTTGATGATCAATAAGATCATCAATCTAAGAAATAGATTCGGTCTAGATTTTGGAAATTTAATTTTTCTCGTAAGCAGATGACAGCTTAAATGAAATAGATATCTGCACAAAAATTTTGCTGAAATATCTAAAATGTAAACAGACACAAATCTAAAAATAATTTTGTTGCGCCATCAAAATTACGTAGAAAATTTAAGCATAATGAGCAATGCTGCAAAAAGTTTCGACTTTCTACAATGAGAGAAAAATGTACTAAATAATAATAATTTTAATATTTTTCCTCAATTGATTTAAAATATATTAAATTTTAATAAATATTTTTTGAATAATATTAGATAAATATTTACTAAATGTAAACATATATTTATTTGGTATAAACATATATATATTTACTGTGGTAGTAAACATTTATTTATTGTAAATAAATGCTACAAGTTAGTACTATTGAAAAAAGTATGTATTAAGATTAATTAAATTTTTACTAAATTTTTAATATTATTGAAGAATTTTACTATTGAAAAAATCTGTATCAAACTCTATTAAATTTATTTTTTGAATTTAGCAATTAGTTTGAGCTTCTTACATAATTATTTTGATAGTCCTCTATAAAATTATTTTCAAATTTGTATCTAACTAAATTTTTAAATACTTCAGGAAAACCATTTTTTGCTATGTGTTTGTGCAATTGTTCTAATGAGTGAATGATGTTATAAGCAGGTTAAAGATTTCTGATCTTATGGCACACGTTACACTGGGTGTCGATCTACTTCGTTATATTTTCTTTCCTGATTAGCTGTCGTCAACGCGAAAAGGTGAATAAAATTTGAATAGTGTTCCCGCTATGACCGCTCGCGTGTGTCTTGTAGCGTGAAGCGGCACAATGTATAGTTTGACTGTCGTATAACCAGCACTTTGACGCCTCTGCATTTTCTGAATTATACTGAAAGCAGAAAAGAAACGGTCGCAAATAAATTCAAAACAGATGTTCCACAATGAGACTACAAATCAAGAAAACTTACGAACATACATATACGGCATTATGGCATGCAAGATGATGACACGTGGCAAACAATTCCTGTATACTTGATGATCGTATCGATTCGCACGATTAGCGTTACCTCTTTTTAAATTTTCGTGACATAACGTTCCATTTTTTAGTGCTTTAACACGCACGCAAAGACGTAGCAGAGACTTAATGCATGATTGATGAGGTGATCAGGCGTGAAACGAAATGATTAAAAAATAAACATAATGTGTGGTGAATACAAGAAATAAATAATATGAATTATGAATAACACTTTTTTACTTCAAAAGTGACAATCAAAAAATCGTGATTGAGTTATTCTCATGAATGAATTAAATGATTATCCTCAATTGTAAAAATGAACTAATTTAACTTCATAAAAAATCGTTAAAATCGTCAAAATTCAAAAAGAATTATTTTTATAAAATCGTTACAATTCAAAAGAGTGCAGATTTTTTTTAAATCGTTACTAAAAAAACACAGGTGGTTTTAAAAAAATCATCACAACTCAGAAAAAGTGATTTAAAAAGAATTATCACAATTAACATTTGATTAAGAATATGTACTTTTGCCAATATTATTTGATTAATCAATAATTTTCTGACAAATTGAAAAACAGTTCTTCCCTTTTCTAGGAAATCTAATTTTTTTAGTTGTGTCACTTTTAAAGTAAGGGAGCAAAAATGTAGAAATCTAATGCGATGAAAAAGCTACTCTGAAAAGTTCGACTTCGAGTTTCACAGAGATCGATCAGCGCGTGTACGTCAGTTCCCATTCGACGAACGCATTCGCATAGAATATCTCTCTCATCGATGAAAAAGAGATGATCCATGTATCGACGGGACAAAGTTACGAGGAATCGTGCTCGCTTATTGAATCGAGAGCACCTGATCACCCCCAATCATCGCAACGGTTAGAGAAAAAATGACAGTGGGTGTTTTCAGCAGAGAAAACTGATTACTGAGTGCTCAGTGATTCCTTAATATGATTGGTTCCTACATTTAGATTTAGCAAAGAACTAAAAGCAAGAAACAATCCTATTAACGATCAATCATTGAGCGCATATATATACTGATCAGTTTTCTCTGCTAAACGCAGCCAGTCTCGATCGCGATTTCGCACCCGCGTTTAGAGAATTGTTTGTCTTTGGACAGAGATGACAGGGATTACAAATTATCGTGTTACAATGTATCGTGATTGATGCTGGTCAGGTTTTTTCTTTAAAGCCTTACATGAATCAGGATGTGGCTTCTCCTCTGCCACCATCAGGGCTGCGCTCTCTGCTGGCGGTATGTGTCCCTCTAATGCATTCACACAGTTTAGCATGCTCCTGTAAAACATCACGCGACTTGTCCAGATTTCCACTTCTTTAAATCACATTTCTGTTGATTCTTACAATCTTTTTTTTTTCCTTTCCTCTCCTCATTATACAAAATTCTTTTTTTGGAGCACCGATTGATATGCACCGTGTCGCAACGTACAAAATACACGATGAACTTGCGGCTTAATCTTATCATTCGCGTTCTTAATTTAATCGCTTTCATTCGGATCCAACGAATCACCAAATTTCGTGGAGCCAGCTACACCGTTATTCACGATTTCACTATGAATTTACAAAATGTTATTATATACTGCAATCAATGATCAGCTGAATTATTAAATATGATGATACATGATATTTTGAGCGATGATTGATGATCAAAAGTAAGAAAGAGAGATAAAATAGCTACATAAATGCAAAGAGAAACTTAAGAGATGCGAGATTTACGATGGGAAAATGTAGATTCGTCTTTATGTAGATCGCGCAATCTGAGATCGTTACACGCTGGGATAATAAATGCAAGAGAAACGATATCGCTCTGCGCTCCTTGGCGCTCCCAGCCCCACTGGAATCCCAGATGATACTTTAGGCGTTTATTCAGAGTCGATCCTAAATTGTTCGACGTTCCAGTCACGTAGAGTAAGCTAAATTCGCTTTTTCTCTCCGCTATGACCGCTATGATAACGATTACTCATAAATCCACACGGAAAGAAGAATTTTCCTGAAAGATCTAAAATTTTGCTTAATATACATCTGAAAATAATTTTGTTGGAACACCAAAATAATTATGTTGGAAAAAATGATGAGTATGCTGCAAAAGATTTTTATATTTCCAGCAACCAGTTTGAGTTTCTAACAAAATTATTTTGATAGTTCAATAAAATTATTTTGGTCCGACAAAATTATTTTCAGATTTGTAAACAGCACAGTTTTAAATCTTTCAACAAAATCGTTCTTTCCGTGCAACGGAGGCGTAGATTCGGAGATCCGTGGATCCATTAGGGATTCACGGATCTTGAATCGAGTTACTCACGCGGTTACACTCGATAATGCATATGTATACGTAACGATTCATTTCACAGTTTCTAATCTTGTACTATTATACAGCGTTTCACTGGCCTGTGTAGTAGAAATTTACGTATATACTTACTAAGAATCAAACAATATATTCGGCAGCCTGTGTGGCAAGTAACACTTGGCGGAAATTCATCAGGTACAATCTCCTACCAAAAGGATCAAAGGGAGTCCATCCGTAATTTCGACAAGCGAAATGATACATACATATTTACACATCTTTCCATGTAGAAGATACGATTTTTCTCGTGGAGTCTCGCCGCACATCGACTTCGACTTCGCTTTGCGTTGCTACTCGAAAAATCAAAGTCGATCCCGATGCGTCGTGCGTAAAACGTAACACGAATGGGAGGAGGAAACTCAATCCGAATAATTAAATAAAGAAACAGATTTATTTTACAGCATAAAACCATAAATTTTACGATCTTAATTCGGTGATGCCGAAATATTCTTTAATATAATATCGTTAATATAATACTAACGAACAGTCTCGAAGTTTTATAACGTCAATTACACAGTGCGTATCGATTAACAGTTTCACATTATAGTGAGTACTACAGTTCTCGTGTCATCCGATATATAACAATGTATATTAAATCAATAACAGTCTTGCGGCTGAGACGCCAATCTACGATAGTTTTTTATTTTTATTATTTTTATTTTTCGAGTCAACAGCCAATTCGATTGCTGATTAGAGCGTTTAGATTTATAGTTTATCGGTAGCGTGGGTATGGTTGGCAGTGGTGGCGTCAGATAGGACGGTCTCCTTGCTAGAGTTAGTGGCGAGCTCCTCTTCCCTGTAAGACAACAACGTTACATGGCAATCGAGCCTCGAATCGTTTCAGTTTTGTCAGAGAAATCCTATTTATTTTCGCGCGAATTTGCACGTGTTTTGCAAATCTGTTTTGCTAAGACGTGTATTAGATGCATCCTCTACACGGACGAGTAAAAAGAAAACTCTTTTACCTCTCTATTGTATCTTCGTCATATCTCGAACTATCACAACCGAACTCTCTACTGATCAATATCTCTAAAACGTATTGTACTATCCGATAGAAATAGCAATCAGAATCAGTAATTGCAATAATAAAACGACACACAAGATAAATGGTGTGTAATCTATATCTACGACAAAGATCTTAATTGAGAGAGCGTTATAAATAAGCTTATTTTAAATTTAATATAAATTTAAATATCAGTGAACCGTTATATGAAAATATATTTCATAATAATTTTTCGTAGACTAAATGATTTCTTGAACATTTACCGTCCCGAAACTTTTCCTTTATCGCGATTGTTCTATACAGATCAATTGTACCGATATCAAACTGCGCTAACTGCGGTTAACTATATCTTCCTCGCCTAGAGATAGAACTGTAGAAATAAAAGGAAAATCGAATGGCGCGCTAACACAAAAGTTAGAGTCAGAGATTGTAGAGATACAACTCAGCATAAACATTTGCTTTAACATTGTACAAGCTGCAGAGCGATCATATTGTTAGTTTGTTACTCATTAAGCAAACAAATTTACAGGCGAGTGAGTAAATTCATACCACACTTAGTATTTATATCTTAAATTCTCCAACACCGTGTCTCCGCTTCCGAAAGCTTTTCCCCGTAATACACTGCGAGAAATGTTTGATATGAATAGTTTATCCATTTACTTTGTTGGACTGTAACTTACAAAAACTTTCTTACTTTTTAATTTAAAAATTATGTTCTTACCAAAATTTGATTGGAATAACCAAACAATTTTTTTAATTAAAAGGTACACTGAGAGAAAAATGTTTGGTATTTGTAACTATAATTACATATCACTATAGTTATGATTACTATTACTATAATAATAGTAATTACTATTATTATAGTAATAGTAACTATGTATATAGTTCTAGCAACAAATGTATATAATTGGCAACCTAAAATGACTATATAATTATATTTGGGACTAACCATAAAAAATATGGTTGGTCCCAAATATAACTATAAAATTATAGTCACTTTAACTATTTTTATGGTAATTTCAACTATAATTATAGTCATTTTAGGTTGCCAATTATATACATGTGTTGCTAGAACTATATACATAGTGACTGTTACTATTATTATAGTAGTAACAATCATAATTATAGTGATATGTAATTATAGTTACAAATACCAAACATTTTTCTCTCAGTGTAAGAAATTATTCTAACTTCTTAATTTTTATAATCAATAATAGCGAATAAACTGTGCAAATGAGAGCAATAGCATGGTTACCGATACGCAAGTAAAAAAGCAATTTTTTTTACTTCGAATCCTTTATTCCATTAAATTGTACGTTTCGACTCACTTTGGAGTCCTCTTCAGCAATTGTATATGTCTCTTCTTTATGTGTAAGAGATGAATCAACAGTAAATTGACAAATTTGATGGCAAAATCTGTTTAAAAACCACTAAATAAATAATCAATATAAAATGCTAAAAATTCTCAACACCTCAACACACAAAGCAATCTTTTGAAACTTCACATCAATTACATAGTCAATTAAATCACATCATAAATACGTTAATTATACAGGGTGAGGAAAAAATATGGAAACCCTGAAAAATCTCAAAAAATATAAGTTTTACAGAAAAATGTTTCAAATAAAAGTTGTAGGATTTAAAAAAGTCTATTCAATAGTCTCATCAGTTTGATCCTGACTGGCGTCGTTGAGGTCAAAGTCACGTTGAATTTTTTAAATGAAACACCCTATTTTTTTATTGCATATTCTCATAGCACATCTCGCGAGCTTTCCAAAACACTATAATTAAAGTTCATTTTCGTCAAGTACTTTTTGAGTTATAAGACTTGAAGGTTACAGTACCTCCGGCATTAGCATTACGCAAGCTGTCCAACCGACGACTAAAACCTCTTGAATGTTGTTCAGGATCATGTACTGGATAACATTTGTCAAGATCAAGGTCATTGGTGATTATTCCTCTTATTTTCA